GTTGCAGCAAGTGTGTGATGCAGCAGGCTGGTCCTCCCGACAAATGTTCATCAGTTGCTATAGTTTGACCTGTTCCTTGAAAAACGAGATGCTGCACCTCATTGCTGTACTGTAGGCATGTCTGGACGTCCCTTCAGACAAAGGTATAACCTGAAGGAGTGTCCGTTTCATGTCTATTTTTTACCTCTCAGGTGCAAACATTCCAATGACGTCACCGACCAAGGTTATTTAAGCTAATTCTTGGCGTGTTTGCCAGACATGCTTTACAACCAGTCAAAAAAATAATGTTCATATCAGCGTTAATGAAATGCAGCATCTCATTGTTGCTTTTTCAGGGAACAGTGTTACAGTCAAGTAACCCGAGATTTTATGTTTAATTGCATATAAATTTTTCTTTATTTATGAGAAAACCCTTCCCTGAAAACACTGAATTTTCCGGGTTTCTGTTTTCACTGTTATACGCACAGTTATGCACTATTACACATCTTCTGAATGAGTCTACGATCTCCCAATCAAAATCACTGACTAGGAAGAATCAGAAACCAGCAATCTCATATGTAAGCAGAGGCATATAAAAAAATAATGGGATCATCAACAATAAACAGCATATAAATGGCATATAAATTATGGCTACATAAAACTTTGAATATAGCACAAATGTTATCTGGACTACTTTTATGTTGTTTAATTTTTTGACAGCTCCAGTTCACTTTCATTGTATGGATCTCAATTTGTCCAAAAACCATAAATTTGTTTTCTTGACCATTTTTAATTTTCCTTTTTTGACACAAAGATATTTGCCATGGTTAAAAAAAAAAAGAGTAAAAAAAAAAATTTCAATGCTAATAGATAGAAGTTATCACTTAAAACCAGTTAACTTGGATGTTACTATTTTTTAATTTTTTACATTTTCTTTTCTGTGTATTAAAGATCAAGTGTTAGGGTTTGGCTTAGTGTCCTGCAACTCCTTCGATAATGTTTAAAAAGCAACCCAGGATGCACCTCATGAAGATGGTTGAGTGAATGTTCAGATGTACCTATATAATTCCCTGATTGGTTGGTTGTAAATATAATTACATTTAAATGTATCAGCTTCACAAGCTATTACATGGCAAATACAGATTCAGCAAACAATGCAATAAATACAAACTTTTTTTTGTAAAATTCAACTTAAGAAAAAAGACTAAACAATTGCATATACAATTCTGTGAAAGATTATTTAAATGTAATTTTGAAAAAAAAAAAAATAAAAAAAAAAAAAATATA